ATAGCAGCACAATTCACAATAGCTAGACTGTGGAACCAACCCAGATGCCCTTCAATAGATGAATGGATAAAAAAAACGTGGCATTTATACACCATGGAGTATTACGCAGCACTAAAAAATGACAAAATCATGGAATTTGCAGGGAAATGGATGGCATTAGAGCAGATTATGCTAAGTGAAGCTAGCCAATCCCTAAAAAACAAATGCCAAATGTCTTCTTTGATATAATGAGAGCATCTAAGAACAGAGCAGGGAGGAAGAGCAGGAGGAAAAGATTAACATTAAACAGAGACATGAGGTGGGAGGGAAAGGGAGAGAAAAGGAATATTGCATGGAAATGGAAGGAGACCCTCATTGTTATACAAAATTACATATAAGAGGTTGTGAGGGGAATGGGAAAATAAACAAGGAGAGAAATGAATTACAGTAGATGGGGTAGAGAGAGAAGATGGGAGGGGAGGGGAGGGGGGATAGTTGAGGATAGGAAAAGTAGCAGAATACAACAGTCACTAATATGGCATTATGTAAAAATGTGGATGTGTAACCGATGTGATTCTGCAATCTGTGTTTGGGGTAAAAATGGGAGTTCATAACCCATTTGAATCTAATGTATGAAATATGATATGTCAAGAGCTTTGAAATGTTTTGAACAACCAATTAAAAAAAAAAGAAATACTGTTGATTGGTGGTATATAAAAGTGGTTCATGTCTTCTAGGAAAGCAAACCATAATCTTCAGCGTTCTCTTCTTTACTGGACAGAAATCAAGTTAATATGTAACTGTACAATGTCTAGGCTCTAATCAACAGGAAAACAGCAAAGTCAAACATAGTTACCTTGTTCTGGAAAATTAAATAATTATTGAGTGAGCTTATAAACAATGCCCCAGTATAACATTGAGAAGATGGTGGCCCTCTTTCTTTGCCTTATTTGCAAGTTTTGGATAATTAACACATTTACATATTTTTCAAGGTATTACCTTTTTTGTTTTAGCCTTTTCCTGTTTTGGAGTATGTTAGTATTTCTCCAATAGACAGTAGATATGAGAGAGAAAATGTAAGTCTCAAAACTTCTTTTGTGGGCTGGGAATTTGGCTCAGTGGTACATTGCCTGAGACCCTAGGTGTGAACCCGATCACCACAGAAAGAAACAACAACAAAAATTATTACTAGCTGATAATTCTAGAGTGGGGAGTGTTTGATAGAGTGAAGAGAAAAAGGCAAGAAAAGGGATTAAATGTCTTGGATAAAAAAAGTGGGGAATGAAGTGAACTTTGAGGATTACAATAAAAATTTGAAAATTTCTTCCCTTTTTTTTTGCTTTCATTTTTAAAATATAAATTCATTGTAACTAACGCCTAAAAACAAAAATTATAAACATTAATGGGGTATTATGTTAGGATTTAAATTTATTCATTTAATTTTTGAATATAACATCATATCAGAAATAACAGAAATAACAGATACTTTTATAAGTTTCTTGAAGGAAGAAAATTCAACTGACCAAAAATGTGAAAATTACTAGTATCAACATACAATAAAAGAGAAGAGTGATAAAGTAATTAAGAAATACTTAACAGTAATGATAACATTTCTTGGCTCTGGTTAAAATTTTTTTCTAAGTAGAGAGTATATAGTAATCTTGCTGTCCCAAATATACAAGGCTACAATTAACAAGGTCAAGTGTGATGAGGAAGGCTGCCTAATGAAATTTGCTAACCTAAGAATTCTTGTACCAAAAACTGAAAAATTCCTGGATCAGGTGTCCATATTTAATTAAAAACAAAGAACATTATTTAATTTCAAGAATACCCTGTCTTAAATATATACTTCCGACTTTTTGTTTGTTTTTTTGCTTTTAGTGAAGCATGTGTGGGAATTTTTTTTCTGATATAATTATTTTTTTAATATGGAGTGCTGTTCAGGTTACATACTGGCCAGGCTTGTCATAAAGTCACCTTAACAACTATTACATTGAAAAAAATCATTAAAAGTCCTTATTTATTATAATGCATGAGGTGATCTGGTAATTTATTTTACTGTTTAAGAATACTTTTGTATGGAAGATAATATTTTGATGATGGCATTCTAGATCTTACCTGTAAGATATTATACTAGAGAACAGAAGACCTTAGTTCTATTCACCTTTCTGTCACTAAATCATTATACAATTGTGGAAACATTTTGTTTTCTTCTAAAATTCAAGTTTTTTTTGTGTGTGTGCTTAGAATTCTACATGTATATCCACTAAGATATAGTTTTCAAGTTTTAGAGTTTATAACTTACTCGAGTTTTATACCAAAAAAATGGCCAGATCCCTTATGCAACCTGATTTGGACATCTGCAGCATCTGCAGTAATATACCTAAGAATATATTACACCTTAGGTAATATACGCTTAGGTGTATATTACTTGCAGAATGTACTACCATTTGAGTTCTTAGCTTTTTATCTTGGTCAGCTGTCTCTGAACTGGACTATAATTTTCTCATTTATAAAACAAGATGGTTGTGCTGCAATGGTTGGGTTAATTATATATGAATGACTTGAAAGTTTTAAAAATAATTTATTTTTTTGGGGAAGGGTACCATTATGAATCTATGAGTGTTTTAAAACATGAACTATTTATAGATAAGGAAGGTTTTGGAATTAAGTTTCAAAACTAATGTTTAACTTTTTTGATCAGTTTTACTTTTCCCCCTAAAGCTCCTAAAATACGACAGCCTGCCCTTTCAATATTCGATAGTTTCTAGGATTTTCAAACTGAAACTAGTAGGTATCTGGGCACCAGTTTATTATCTCCAGCTTGCCTTCCCTATTAAAAAGGAAAGGATGATTATTATTAGGCCCAATTACTTTGAGAATTCATCTTATCAAAAATGTGGAATTATGAATTCAGTCTGTTTATGATGAACTGCCTCTGAATTGAATTGTTTCATAAGTCTAACCTATTTGGTTATAGAAGAATAATAAGAAAAGGGAGATAATATAATAAATTTGGTATTTATCAACTTACTCAGTTTCTGAATTTATGAAATAAAAAAACCTGAATCCTCTCAGGATTCTCTGTCGGTAGAAGAAATGACTATAACAAAAACTGTTGAGGTAGTTTGAAAAAGAGAAGAAAATCCATAGGACCCAAAGCAGCCACCATTAATATTTTGACTACAGTTATTTGGAGTAGAATCTTGGGCAGAAAATAAAGAAAAAGGGAAGAAAAGGTAAAAAGGAAGGAAGAAGGAAAGAAAAGATGAGGTGGAAATATTTACAGTTCATATTGTAGAATAAGAACTAATTTCCTTAATAAGAAACTTATCATTCTGTGAGAAAAAGACCAGTGACCCAATATAAAAATGAGGGAGACATGGCTCTTAAATATACTCAATCCTACTCAAATAAGAGAAATGAAAATTCAAATGTGAGATATCATTTTTAAATTATAAAATTGGAAAAATTCAACAAGTTTGATTACACTTGCTGTTGAGAATGTGGGGAAAACAGGTACTTTGAAAGTATTGATAGTTTTAAGTCGACCCAACCTTTCTTGCAGAAAATGTGTGTGGTACCGGGAATGAAACCCAGGGCCTCCGCACGCTAGGTAAGTGCTCTACCAGCGAGCCACATCCCCAGCTCAAGCTGGCATAAATAACCTTCACTATAAATGCTATGTGTTGGTAAATACATTCCAACCTCATTTACCATTTTCTCTCTTGCTCAGTTGCCCTCCTGCTTTTCCTCAAATATGCCAATTACATTCCAGCTCCAGGGCCTATGCATTTAACTTTCCCTACTAATCCTGAAAAGCACATCAATTTTTCTTTACCTCTATCAGGCTTTTGCTCAAATACCACCTCTTCAGTGAGGCTTTCTCTCATTACCTTATTTAAAACAGTGGCTCCCACCCCTCTTCATCATTCTTGCCACCCTAATTTTAATACAAAGAACTTATCATCTGTGTTTTATGTTTGTCTCTCCTCCCTAGTTAGACTCTACACCCAGTAAAGACAAGGTCTTTGTTGTGTATATTGCTGTATCCCAGACCCTACAGGCTTAATATACAGTAGCTGTTCATTAAAGGTACATACTGAATGAACATTTATAGAGGACAACTTAACATTTATTAAAATTTAGAATGTAGAGTTGGGGTTGTAGCTAAGTGGTATGGCACTTGCCTAGCTTGTGTGAGGCACTGGGTTTGATCCTCAGCACCACATAAAAATAAATAAAGGTATTGTGTCCATCTACAACTAAAAAAAAAAAAAAAAATTTAGAATGTATATATACTCTGAAATTCCCTGAAGGCATTTACCCTATAGATAATAGATATCCTTTTTTTTTTTTGGTTTTGTTTTGTATTGGGGATCGAATCAAGAGTGCTTTACTAGGCTGGGGTTGTGGCTCAGTGGTACAGAGCTTGCCTCAAATGTGTGAAACACTGGGTTAAATCATCAGCACCACATAAATAAATAAACAAAATAAAGTTATTTTAAAAAAAAGGCAATTCTTTTTTTTTTTTTTTAAAGAGTGCTTTACACTAACCTGCATCCCCAGCTCTTTTTATTTTTAAAAATTTGACACAGGGCCTCAGTAAGTTGCTGAGGCTGGCCTTAAACTTGTGATCCTCCTGCCTCAGCCTTCTAAGTCACTGGAATTACAGGCATGTACCTCTATGTCTGCTACCCTATGGATATTCTTGTGTGTATACAAAAAGAGAATGTATACAGTTATTTGCTATAGCGTTGTTTGTAATAGTGAAAATAGAAGTGTACCTAAGGTCAATTTTAAAAATAAATTACCTACATCTATACAATAGAATAAATGAATACTGCATAGATATAGAAGAATCTCTAATTCCGAAAATTCTTTTGCTGTCTTTGGTAAATATATGTCTAAGATGTGACTATGTTAAGACCTTGATGACATCACTTTGCAAATGATCCCTTTTAATAGGGCATTTAATAGTAAAGAGGGTAGGAATAAACAGATAGAAAGAATGAGTAATTGTTTTTACAGTTTTACTTAATACTAAATTTCCTTATAGAAAGTATAGGACTTTTACCAATTAAATAATATTTGAGTAAAAACAAATGTATCTGAATACAGATAACCTTATTAAATAAAAATCCTTTCTTTGTACATTCAAATTCATGAATAGGTTTAAACTGGCAGTACCTATTGTTCATTTATTATGGGTGGATTTCCCATTTTACAAACAAACCTCTCTCACTTATGGGAAGAGGTTCCTGGTTTCTTTAGTATACATTTAGAAATGTCTTTAGTATACATTTCCTTATCCCAGAGGAGCAGAATTCCCCTCATATCCATCACATAACATCCACTTGCAGCAGCAGGGAATTTTGCAGAGGTACTTTTCTACTCCAGGGCTGTATACATACAAAAGAATGTTCATATATTTAAAAGCATAATGCATAAAGGATAATTTCTTGGTAACCATATATGCCCCTTAATCTCATCAAACCATAATTTGCTCACTGTTCCTCAAATAAAAATTTCTATTTCTTGTCTCTTTAACATCCTTTCACCTTTTATCCACTGCCCTCAATTGGAATCCTACATATGCATCTATATAAATACTACCATTTCAAGATCTAGGCAAACTCCTATCTCTCCATTAAAGGAAAAGTCTTTGCTGACTATTTTAACCTATAATAATCTAAGCCTCTGTTATCTGGCTCTAATATTTTGCTGCTTAATACTGTTAACTAGCTTTTCATAAGTTTTTGAGTTATCTCCCAATTAGATTGCAAGTTCCTTAAAGGCAGATTCCTATATTGTTTTTCCTCTATTCCTCATGCACCTACATAGTAGATATAAATGTCCTCGATTTATGACCCAATATATATAATTGGTGTTCTTTACAGATATTTCTAGAATACATCTATGTTTCTACCCCAATAAATTGAGTGTTTGGTGTCAGAACTCATCAGCTGACTCTGTGTCCCAGCCACAGGACTGCAGTTGTTCATCCTGTGGGAACTCTACCACAATGTCATACACAAAATTTGGATCATCTTTCTTCTTCTGATTTTTCTCAAAAAGTTCATCCATGATGCTCTTCCTTTTGGCAAGCTCCTTGTCATCTAGTTTGTTCAGGTCTTCCTCAGGATCAATGGTTGTTTCCCGTTGAATTTGTTCCATCGTTTCTGCCAAACTCTGTCCCCATAAGTAACCTCGTAAAAAAGTGAATAACTTCTTTAGCTGCTTCAGGGATACTTGTTCCAGGTAACTCTTGTGTCGTGGATTATTCTTTAACTGTTCAGCAGCTCTGGTGCAGTCTAGGAAAGGGGGAAAACATATACTACATATATAATATACACCACAAGCAATTAATGCACCACAAACTGTTCCAAGAACAAAAATGCAACAAAAAACTCAGAACCCTGAAATCATTATCCACATTATAGACAAGTGGCTAAATGGCTTTATTGGAATTAACTATTTATAAAACTATTCTTTTATAATAAATTGAGTGTGAAGGGGGAAGGATGGATGTATTTTTTACTTAACTTAAAATCACTTTGTGGAGATGTAAAAAATTTCAACTGAAGAGCACATCTAAGAAGAAAAAAATGGCATTATAGCTTTTAGGCAGCAGTAGTGGTAGTAATAAAATGTTAAGATTATAAATTAAAAACATTTGGAGGAAGAGAAGTGAATTAATATTACTGAATAATATTATCTCATTTAGTCCACAACATTCTGAAAAGGATTAAATTATCAGTTAAAAAACTCGAAAAAAAATTATCAATTTCCTCTTATAGATATGGAAACTGAAGCTCACTGTCAATTTATCCAAAGGTCACACATCTAGTCCCCGATAAAGTCATGATTTGAATCTACATCTGTTGACTCTGAAGTCCATGTCACGTCATTGTAAGAGACTCAAACTGTACTTATTAAGCGACTTAGAGAACATTTTAGAAGGCAAGATAAAATATGAAGTACCTGAAAACTTTGAAAAATTTCGGACTGGCATGATGCGCTGGCGACTCTTTCCTTTGATTTCATTCTCATAGATTAAGATAATAGCTGGAGGCTGGAATCTAACTCCACATTTCTTGGCAGTGCACATCATTCTCACATAACTTTCAGGGTAAATCAGAGGAAACCTGATGAAAATGTGTTAGTTGCATAATAATTTCTGCAGACAGGGGTAGGGGAACAAAACAACTAGGTGTTGGATAGATAAATCTTCTTTCTTTGGCCCCACCTTCCCAGCATAGGCAGCTGTAGTCCAGTTCTATGCATGCTTAGCCTATGAAGCTCAATACTTAGAGGCCTAGCCTGAAATTCATTTTGGCTCTTAGTCTGTATCCCTTAGTTTCTCTGGGTGGGCCAGGTATGGTGGTACACACCTGTAATCCCAATGGCTCAGGAGGCTAAGGCAGGAAGACTGCAAGTTTGAAGCTAGCCTCAGCAACTTAGTGAGACACTATCTCAAAATAAAAATAGGATTGGGAATGTAGCTCAGTGGTAAAGTGCCCCTGGGTTCAGTCCCTTGGACAAAAAAAAAAAGAAAAGAAAAAGAAAAAGATTCTCTGGTTCATTGAAAGATGTAGGCATGTTCACATATGAGCTGGGAGTACAATTCAGATGGAGTTCTTAGAATATGACACTCTTACTGAAGACTGTATATGAACCCCTGAGTGAACCCAAGAACTGACTTATGGAGTCTTTCCTATTTATCAATTAAGAAACTGTGTATCAGGCACTTTTTATATCAAGGTATATGGTTATTTTAACTTTTGACATTTTGTCAGGCTGGCAAATGGTGCAAACCCTGTAATCTTGCCTATTTACGAGGCTGAGGCAGGAAGCTCCCAAGTTGGAGGCCAGGCACCTGGGCAACTTGTCAAGATGCTGCCTCAAAATAAAAAATAAAAAGGGTTGTAGATATTGCTCTGAGTGCCCTTGGGTTCAATCCTTAGTACTCTTAAGAAAAAAAAAAAAATTGTCCTACAAGGTTTGTCAGACCAAATCTGACTCCTGTATACTTGCTCAGTTAGTTTACTCACAGAGAGTGTTTCTGAAATTGTTCATTTAATCATTCATCTTCCCTTCCAGTTTATATGCTTCATGAAGGTGCATATCCATTTTCACCACAACATCTCACAATATCTGGAATGTAGTTGGCATTCTATACATATTTCTTAATGCTATCTATTAATATAACACATAGCTCCTGTATGTCATCCAAGTATTTATAGCCCAGAAACCTGACCAAAGAGGCCTGATAGAGAATCTGTCTCTCACATACAGGTCAATAATGTTTACATGGCCTTTATTTCAGCTTATTTTTCTCACTATGTGATATTCTTCCAGCTATAAAAAATGGAGCTATTTCCAGATTAGCACTTTCTGTTTTTTCTTCCCTTCTTCACGCTCAGTGTCAAATACATTTAATTATAAAAACTGCTTTAGATGTGGCTATGACATTCCCAGGAAGATTTGAAAATTGTCAAAAACTGAGGTAGAGTGGGAGGGAAAACTTAGTTTTATTAGAAATTCACTATAAGAGTGTAGTTTTTAAATATTTTAAAAGTATTTATACATGCTCATTGTAGAAAACTGGGGAAAGGGGAGGAAGAAAACATGAATTAATCTCCCTTGATTACTTCACCCTTTTTTTCCCTATGCATACGGTTTTATTTTTTAAACTGTCATATATTTTTACATCATATAAACTATTTCCTTTTATTAACCTATGTGATTATGTCATTAATACATATTTTACTAAAAGGCAATTTTTATAGCTGCTATGTGGATTTGTCTTATAATCTATATTATTACTTCTTATTGTTGGATGTGAGAATTTGTGCTCTGCCTCTGATACGATGCAATGATCAAATACTACTCCCAGTTCACTAAAATTTGATGTTACTAAACTTTCTAGGAGATTCTACTGAGCACAATATAAACTGCACACACTACAGCAGATGGATGATGTACTTGGGAATGATGTATGCAATTGATACTTTATTTTCTCTTTCAAGTTTAACTTTCATTTTTACTAAAAAATGTTTGTATTCTGCTTGGAATATAACATAAATCCCAGGAGGATTATAACAAAAAAATTACTGTCCTCTGCTCTACCCATCTCCATAGTCAACAAGAGTCAATTCTTTTAGGCACTTTTTTCCCCCCCAAATTTATCCCCACATTTCTAAATAACATGATTATTCTGCTATTTTCAGTTTAAGATAGACACACACGCTACTCTTAGAGACATCCGCCCTAGAGCCTTCTGTCCTACCACCAGGAGAGGGTTGTTTCCACCCAACTGCAAAGCACAAAAGCACTCCCATCTGCAGTAGGTGTTCTCTAGGCTGCTTACAGATTTCGTTCAGTTCAGGACAAGGGACGGCACATTACCTAATTATTCTTCTTAGACATGAATACTTTTCTGCCCAGGCATAAGTGACTGCGAAGGTCTTGATAATTGTCCCCCACAGAACCTAAAGAGATACGATTTCCCAATGGGTAAATAACCTCTCCCTACTCACGTCCCTACCAGTGTAAGGATGACTTCTTACCCTTAGAGAAGTACAGAAAATGTTTTTCTCCTGCAGGCCAACGTCTAAACCGCTGGGAGAGGGTTGTTTCCACCCAACCGCAGAGCACCAGAGCGCACTTGGGTCGACTTTGAGGCCGGGCGGAGCCTGGCGCTGCAGGAAGAGGCCATAGCCACAGATCGCTGACGTCACCGCGGGGTGAACTCCTATGTAAGAGGCCGGAGCACTCCAGGACCAGGCACGGGCGGAGGAGGCCCGCTCCGAGCGAAAACCGCCAGCTCTCAGGATTGAGAGCCTGGTCTAGGGCCCGCTGGGCGGCCCGCCCTCCCGAACACCTCGAACCGTTCCCACAGCAACAGCCCGGGTGCACGTCACGACGCTTGCGTCGCTCCTTGCCCCGCCTCCTACCGGGGCCGCGGGAGGCGGGGCGGCACGAGAGCGCATTTTGGAGCCGGCCCCGCCGCTTTACGTTTCGCGGGAGCTTTGTGGTGCCGGTGCTGTGGAGAACTGGGAAATTGCAAGGCCGCGGGCGTGCGTTGCACTTAGCCCTCGGTCCTAGTCCCTTAACTCGGTGACTGCGCACTCTAGGAGCTGCGTGAGGCGTGTGTAGGCTCCTTTTTGCGTCTGCATCTGGTCCCCGCGCTCCTCTCGGGCGTCCGCCCGCCCGCCGGCGTCCTGGCTGCCCGGGCCGTGGCTGTCCGGGTCGTGGCCTGGCTGCTCCTCGGGGCGGCTGGGCTCACCCAAACGCTTGCCGCCAACTCCTCTGACGCCCCCTTCGGTGCTGGTAAAGGGGGCGGGGCTCGGGAGTGAGGTGGGGCTTGGCAGAAACTCCAGGCTGCAGGGTCATCTCCGCGCCGCGGTTTGCTGAGGTGCCTCGCGTACTCTGCGCGGCACTCTGGAAGGGTAGGGCGAGGTGGAGGAGGTTAAAACAAAGGCCGCGTGCCTTTCTCCTCCCCTCTTCCCTCCCCTTGCTTGTTGTTGTCTGGCCGATTCCGGGAGTTTGGAGAGATTTAGTCCGGGCTTAGTCCGTCCGAAGTGGGACTGGAGAGCTGTTTTAAAATATGGTAAAAGAAGTACAGCGGGGAAGCATTTTGCATTGCATGAAACTTCCAGCGACTAACGGGCTAGAAAAACCTTCGTGCCCTGAGAGGTGTGAGAATCCCAGAAGAGCAAAGACTTGGGTTGTGCGTGTGCGGAGGAAACTAGTTTTGTTTACAAACTTCTTTGGTGATTGACTGGTTTGGGTTAGGTTTTCTTTATGATTCGGGAGTGGGTCAGGAGTTGATGCATATCTTTGGACCCGAGTCCGTGAGCCTTAATGTTCTGCCAAGTGCTGTGGATCCAGCCTTGAGCCAATCATGGAGCTTGCAGGATAGTGGGAGAGAGACACTTGCCAGAGAAATTACAATGCAATGACCGCGTTTGGATGGGGAGGGAAAGTTAGCACAAACCGTGTGAGTTTCTCCGCCTGTAAAATAAGGGTGTTAGACTAGTGTGTGTCAGTCAGCACAGTTCTGCTTTTGTGTGTTTACAGAATTACACTTCCAAATTTATTTTTAAAAAGGATTATCAGAACAAAGAGAATTTTCAAGCAGCTGGACTTGACATCTGTAAAGATTTCTCTAGCTTTGCATTTTATAATTGAAAAGGGGTCACTTGACAGAGACCATTTAGGCCACCTCAACCGAATAATATTTAAAAGGGAAAAAATCTTGAAAGTGAATCCAGATGCTTGATCTTCAATTTGAAATGATACTTTTGTCTTAAATATCATAAGTAACTAATATTTGCTTGCCTATTTGTCAATTGGCTTTTCTACCACCTCAGGATGAATGGTTTACTACTCTAGAGTTCATCCCAATAGAATTTAAACCTATTCATTAGACCAGAGACCTTGTGCCTATTAGAAGAAAATGTAGGCCCAGCTCTCCATCATGTCAGCTTAGGAACTGTTCTTCCGTGACACTCCTTTAGAAGTAAAATCAAGAATCAATAAATAGGATGATATCAAACTAAAAAGCTTATTCCCAGCAAAGGAAACAAGAATATGAAGAGAAAACCTACAGAAGGGGAGAAAATCTTTGCCACCTGTACGTCAGAGCATTGATCTCCAGGATATATAAAAATCTCAAAAAACTTAACACCAACAAAACAAAACAAAAAAACAACCCAATCAATAAGTAGGCAAAGAAACTGAATAGGCACTTCACAGAAGAAATATGATCAGTTAACAAACATAAAAAAATGTTCAACATCTCCAGCAATTAGAGAAATGCAAATTAAAACTACACAGAAATTTCATCTTACTCTAGTCAGAATGGCAATAATCAAGAATACAAGAAATAATAAATGTTGGCGGGGATGTGGGGAAAAGATACACTCATACATTGCTGGTGGGACTGCATATTGTCAACCACTCTGGAAAGCAGCATGGAGATTCCTCAGAAAAATTGGAATTGAAGCATCATTTGACCCAGTTATCCTACTCCTCAGCATATACCCAGAGGACTTAAAATCAGAATACTACAGTGATGCTGCCATATCAATGTTTATAGCAGCTCAATTCACAATAGTTACGCTGGAACCAACATAGGTGCCCTTCAACAGAGGAATGGATAAAGAAAACGTGGTATATAAACAATGGGATATTACTCAGCAATAAAGAAGAATTAAATTACAATGTTTTCTGGTAAATGGATGGTACTGGAGATTATCATGCTAAGTTAAATAAGCTAATTGCAAAAAACCCCAAAAAACACCAAAGGTGGAATGTTCTCTCTGATATGCAGATGCTAACACACAATACTGGTGGTGGTGGTGAATAGAATAGAAGTTCATTGGATTAGACAAAGGGGAATGAAGGGAAAGGAGGCGGGATGGGAATAGGAAAGACACAAAATGAATTGAACATAACTTTCCTGTGTTCATATATGAATACATGAACAGTCAAACTCCACATCTGAATAACCCAGAATGGGAAGTTATACTCCATATGTGTATAATAGATCCAAATACACCCTATGTTCATGTATATCTAAAAAGAATTAAAAAGCCTATTAATTTGAGAGATAGATGGTATCTGTTTATTTGGAGAAAAATTATATGCTTCTCCAAATAAGATTTCTTTAAGTAGCCAAGAGTGAAAATATCATAGGCTTTTATAAAAAAGTCAGGCAAGCAAGGTAGTGGTGCGCACCTGTAATCCCACTGGCTTGGGAGGCTGAGGCGGGAGGATCATGAGTTCAAAGTCAGCCTCAGTAATTTAGCAAGGCCCTAGGCAACCCAGTGAGACCGTGTATCTCAATAAAATACAAAAAATGGCTGGAGTTGAGTGCCCCTGTGTTCAATCCCCAGTACGAAATAAAGTCAGGCAAGTCCACACTTGTAATGAACAGTTTGGGAAGCTGAGGCAAGAACATTGTAAGTTCAAGGCCATCCTCGAAATTTCAGGATACCCTGTCTAAAAAAGGGCTGAGGATGAACTCATTGATAGGGAACCTCTGGGTTCAATCCTCAGTACCACAAATAATCAATCAATCAATAAATGGTAAAACTTGCTTCCAATCAGTCACTTAGTTTTATGCCCAGAGCCAGTTGCTAACTATAAGTCTGAGTTTCCTGTATGTACTAATGAAAGTAATTTTGCTTGCCTATTTGCTGGTTGTGAAATTTAAAAGAAAACATGAAAGCCCCAGGTGGAAGATTGAATGTGAAAGTAACATTTTCTAATATTTTTTCCTAATTTCAAATGGTTTCTTCAAATCATATTTCTTAATACATCCTTTCAGGATTATATCTAACGTGTTCAGTAATATTCCATAATATGTAGTTTTCTGTGTGTTTGTTTTAATATTCTTTCTATATAGTTCTAACTTGAGATGGGGCAAAGTTCTATAGCAAGATAGGTGCTGGTAGTATTGGTGGTGATAGAAACTGAATCTTTAGTTTTATGACACTTACATTGAGTGTTAAGTAATTTCTAGTGTCTGAATTTTGCATGGTGTCAGTATAATAAGATTTCTAATTATTCTAAGTTTACAAAGGAACCCATTTAGTCTTTAAGTGACTCCAGTTTTCTTGCCTTTTTATTTAACCCAACATCTCCACAAGGCATAAATGTACAATTGTCCCAGTTTTATAGGCATGGATGTTAGAATACAGAAGTTTCTATTATGTCTCTCATATGTGCATAGTTTCATTGAGCTAGAATTAAAATAGATTTCCTGGCTCTTTAGCCATTTTCTTCTGTTTTGGTGTCCTGGAATCACCTAACTAAAGTATTTTTGGTGGTGGGCTGGAGATTGAATCCAGGGCCTCGGGCATGCTAGATAAGCGCTATACCACTGAGTTATACTCCCAACCCTAAAGTACTATTAATAACAAACACTTATATAGAGCACTTACCATATGGTAGGCTCTGTTCTAAGTGTTTCTCCATATCCTAAATTCTTACGATAACCATAGAGAGAGAAACTATCTTGCCTAGACACATCACTATTAAGTGACAGACTGGAATTTGAAATCAGACAATCTAACTCCAAAGTCAATATCTGCCCCCCTCCTTTTTTTTTTTTTTAGTACTGGGGATTGAACTCAGAGGCACTTGATCACTGAGCCACATTCTTGGCCCTTTTTATTTTTTATTTGAGAGAGGGTCTCAGTAAGTTGTTTAGGGCATCACTGTGTTGCTGAGGCTGGCTTCCTTCTATATCAGACTCCTGAGTCTTTGGGGTTACAGTTGTGGCTCCATAGTCAGTATTCTTAACCACTATGTTGTACTAGAAATAGATTTAGAGGTAGCTCAAACTTGTTTTTGTTTGCTTTTAGATTGACTACTTTTCTGGCAAGTAAAACCTATTGAAATAATTATTTTCTGATTATTTAAATATTCTTTCATTGAGTGCTTATTTTAAAAAATCTTTTCATTCTTATAGGCATAAGGGCCACTTGTTCTGAAATTATTTTAAGGCAAGAAGTTTTGAAAGATGGTTTCCACAGGTAAGTTGCCCATATTTATATTAAAATACTATCTTATAATTTAGATTAAAAAGTTGATAGTTGAAACAGATAAATTGAAAAATCACTTTTAAAGTTTATCAGTGAGAGATTTATCACGTGTGGTTCATACTTAAAAATAATGTTTCTTTTTTTGTACTCAGGATTGAATTCAGGGGCATGCACCCACTAAGCCACATCCTCAACCTTATTTTGTATTTTATTTAAAGACAAGGTCTCACTGAGTTGCTTAGTGCCTCACTTTTTGCTGAGGCCAGCTTTGAACTCACAATCCTCCTGCTTTAGTCTCCCCCGCTGCTGGGATTACAGGTGTGCACTACCACGCCCAGCCAGAAATAATGGTTTTAATAACAGTGGAGAAAAGAAGAAAACATTGTTTACCATGCGTACTTTAATTTATATATATATAGATAGATAGATAGATAGATAGACAGACAGACAGACAATAGCTACATATGCAGTGCTCCATTAAATCACAAATGGCTATGAGACACATGAACTTTTTCTTGCTTTTCAGATGTGGAAACTAGGGTTCAGAGAAGTTAAATCATTTGGTAGAAGTTAGGGTGATAAAGCTCTGACTCAGATTTAATACTATTATCCCATTATTCAAAGCTATGCACGCTCTTAAATACTGTCTGATACAACACTCTGAATCACTATTTCTTATTTACTAGACTTGGTTTCAAATAAAATTGTTTGAAAAAGATGAGTAAGACTTTTGGTGTAGCTTAGTGGTAGGACGTTCTTCTAGCACATACAAGACCCTGAGTTCAATCTCCAGCACTGGGAGGGGAAAAAAAGATGAATGAAGATGAGTGTTTGCAGTATTAAAGATCTTTGGACTGGTAAAAAGCTATGAAACAGTTCCATAAGAAAACTTCCCCAAACTTTATTTGTTCTATACATTATGATACCTGTGATTTTAAAATAATTTCATTTCATAGTCACCTTACATGAAATTCCTCTTTCCCCTCTCTTCCAAGTTAGTATAGCATATGCAGAGCCAGGAGAGAGAGAAAAAAAAAAAAAAAAAACCTGGGCTGCTGATACTTGGATAGATTTGGCCTCAAGATGTAGGTACTCATTATCTATGTGTCCTTAGGCAAGCAAGTTACTTAAGTCTTTTCTTTGTTATCAGTAAAACTGGGTAATGTTAGTATTTCCTCATTGGTGTTGTGAGGTTTAAGTCAGAGAATATATAGAAAGTTCCTTGATATACTAGGGAAATGTTAGCCATTATTGTAATGAGGTAGGTGATCAAGCTAAGCAAGCCAGTTTTAGTCAAAGAGGAGATGTGATGGTAAAGTAGTAAGATTAATTTGGGAGAGAAGATGGTGAGAGGGCACTTCTGAAAGTTTTTAATGGAGTTCCAGAGACACATTTTAAGCAATGTCCAGGTAGTTAGACTAGGTACATAGCTTCTCTCTATTAGCATATATAAAACTATTGTTATGGTCTGAATTTCAAGAGGAATGGGGCTACTAAATAATGTAAATTTGACAGTGCCATCAAAATGATTCTAATAAGGAAAAAAAGAATTACTTGTAGAGGCTGTTGTGATAAAAATGATTCTAATAAGGAAAAAAGAAGTACTTGTAGAGGCTATTGTGATAAGAAATGTAGTTTTCCAATTACACAGAATGAAAACGGGACATAAAACCAACGAAGGATAAAGAATGACAGCACCCATAATAGATTCAGAAAGTAGAAATCTGAGTTGTTTAAGATAGAAAATGTCAGTAATCCTTTTTTTTCCCAGAAGGCTTATTAGTTATGTTTAAAGCAGATGTCTTGCTGCTAGAATGAATGAGGAAGGATTAACAAGTTATAGAACATTAGAACTTTTTTGCTCCTTTTCTTCTTGGTCACAAAGATTTACTTCTACGCTGGAAAGGGCCAAACAAATATTCACAGTAGAGAACTAAAGTGCAGAATACATAAGGGAATCATACAAAAGGGCCTATTATTATAAATAAGTTCAGAGTCTCCCTTCCTTGATGAACTCTCATTGCAGTAGGAGAATTTGCTTAAAAGATTGCTGAACTAGGGCTGGGGATGTGGCTCAAGCCGTAGCACGCTCGTGGGGCATTGGGTTCGATCCTCAGCACCACATAAAAAATAAAATAAAGATGTTGTGTCCACCAAAAACTAAAAAATAAATATTAAAAAATTCTCTCTCTCTTTAAAAAAAAAAAAAGATTGCTGAACTAATGTTTATAACCTTTGGATAATCTGGAAGTTAGAACTACAAAATTGTGAGCTTGGTGTTGGTGTAGATTCTGGGCAGAATTCTAGATCAGATTATTAAAAGGTTGGTTTATGAACACAGAACAGGAAGAGGTGGTCGCTGGAAGTTATCATGAATTTATTACAAATATTTCCTTTATAAAGTTGGTAGATAGGTGGATCAGGGAAGTGCTATAGTCATGGTGTATCTGATTTTCTTGAAGTTTTTTTTTTTTTTGTGTGTGTGTGTACTGGAGATTTAACTCAGGGGCACTTGATTACTGAGCCACATCCCCAGCCTTTTTTTGTATTTTATTTAGAGACAGGGTCTCACTGAGTTGTTTAGCCCCTTGCTTTTTGCTGAGGCTGGCTTTGAACTCGCTGTCCTGCCTCAGCCTCCTGAGCTTCTGGGATTATAGGCATGTGCCACTGCACCCAGCTGGAAGTTTTTTTTTTTTTTTTTTAAAATAAAGTTTTATATGGTGTCTGTGAACAAGATGAAGAAATGTTGCCTGAAAGATAATTAAGACAAATTTCTTTATAAAAATTTAAAAATACTCTAGGTGTGTTGGTAAATGCCAGTAATCCCAGTGACTCAGGAGGCTGATGCAGGTGGATCGCAGGTTTGAGGTCAGCCTTGGCACTTTAGTGAGACTCTGTATCAAAATAAAAAATAAAAAGTTCTAATAAATAGCCACCCCTATTTATTATTAATATTTGAATGTATTTTTAATCCTTTTAATCTATGTCTTTTGTTTAATGTTTTTTGTAGATAGCATGTAGTCAAGTGTTTCTATTTCATGTAGTCTGTCAGTCTCCATATTCTAATTGGAATGATTAGACCATTTACTTTATTATTTTTTATAATTGGTTTTGTGATACTAGGGACTGAACTCAGGTGTTCTCCACTACTGAACTACATCTTCAGCCCTTTTTATTTTTTCATTTTGAGATAGGGTCTTGCTAAGTTGCTGAGGCTGGCCTGGAGCTTGCAGTCTTCCTGCCTCAATCTCTAAATTGCTGGGATTATAAGTATATGCTACTGTGCCTGGCCAGACCATTTCTTTTTTTTTTTTTTTGAATTTGTTTATGGTACTGGGTACCAGGGTGCTTTAGCACTGAGCTACATCCACAGCCCTTTTTAAAATTGAGTTTATTTCAAGTTATTTTTTGTTTCATTTCTTTTATTTATTTTTTGTTCCAAGCCAGTCACATCAAGTTACCAAGGCTGGCCTCAAACTTGCAATCCTCTGTCTCAGACTCTCAAGTTGCTGGGATTACAGGTGTATGTAAGTGTGCCTGCCCACACCATTAACTTTTATGTAGAGTTTTTTTTTTAACCTTTGTTTTATTTATTTATTTATTTTTATGTGGTACTGAGGATCAAACCCAGTGCCTCACACATGCTAGGTAAGTGCTCTACCCCTGAGCTACAACAGCAGCCCCAACTTTTATGTAAATATTGATATAGTTATTTTGGTTTAAATTTATCCACCTTGCTACTTTTTTTCTCTTTCTTTTTCTGTTTGTTCTCTAGTTTTTTCTCTCTCATCTTATTTGGAATAAATTGATTATAAATCTTAGAATAGATTAACTTCTTTATGCTTTTGTTGTCATATGTTTTACTTCTGTTATAAACTCCTAATTACATTGTTGTTATTTTTGCTTCAATTATATTTTTTATATTATTTATTTTAATTGTGATACAATACCCATAACATAAAAAGTCATCTTAACAGTTTTTAAGTGTACACTTCAGTGGCCTTAAGTACATTCATATCGTTGTGCTACCATCACTGCTATTCTTCCATATTACTTTTTTCATTTTACAAAACTGAAATTCTGTACTCATTAAGTAATAACTCCCCTTTCCTTTGGCTCCTGGCCACCATTTTGCTTCATGTCTCTATGAATTTGACTTCCCTAGGTACCTCATATAAGTGGAATCATACAATATTTGTGACTTACTCATTTTCCTTTGCATAATATTCTTAAAGTTCATTCATGTTGGAGCATATATCAGAAAATTTCTTCCTTTTTAAAGCTGAATAATATTTCATTGAATGTTGATGGACACTTGGATTGTTTTTCTCTTTTGGCTATTGCAAATGATGTTGCTAGGAGTATATATGTACAAATATCTTTCCAAATTCTTACTTTTGATTCTTTTAATTCCTAGAAGTGGATTTGCTGAAGTAGCAAGGACTAGAGGTTCACACCACCAGACCTGGCCAAAAAAGTCTTTTGTATTTACCCACATATTTACCATTTCTGATGTTCTTCAAGAGTTTTTCTTGTGGATGTTTCCATCTGTTTATCATTTTCTACCTGAGGAATATCTTTTACTCTTCTTGCAGTGAGAAATTCACTTAGTTTGTGTTTGTCTTAGTCTTTATTTTGCCTTCATTTTGGAAGGATTTTCTCCAGGATGAATAATTATAGACTGACAGCTTTTTTTGTTTTATTACTATAAATATGCCCAGTCTTGTACAGTTGCAGCCTACTTATGCTATGTCTTATGGCTTAGGCTTATTGTAGTTACTTTCTACAAAGTGAACTTTTTCTTGATAGCCTTTGACTGTTTTTCTTTATTTTTTCATTGGAGAATAATATACTTTGGTGTGGTTTGTTTATGTTGATCCTGCTTAGGTTTTGTTGGACATCTCAGACTGATGGGCTTATAGTTTTCATGAAACTTGGAACATTTTCAGCCTTTAATTTTTCTGTCACATTCTCTCCTCTTTTTCTAGGACTCCAGTTGTACATATACTAGACCACTTGCTATTTAAAGATCACCAAAACTATTTATTTTTTCTTCCCATTCTTCTTTATTCTCTATGCTTCAGTTTGGATAGTTATGCTGCTCTGTCACCAAGTCAGTGATCTTTTTATTCTTCAGTATCTAATTGTTTTTAATCACATCTGGGTAACTTTATTTCAAGAGTCTTATTTTTTATCTCTTAAAATTGCATTCAGTTTTTTTAAAAATTACCCTTTTTTTCTTTCAGAATGTTCATGCTTGTCTTTAAATCCCTGAACCTATATGGTGTATGTACAAATACTGTTTTAATGTCCATTTTGTTACTTTTGTCGTTTCTAGGTCTGTGTCTATGGACTAATATTTTCCTGGTCATATTTCCCTGCTTAATTGCATCTGTTAGTAACATTTTATAGGATGCTGAACATGGAATGTTTTTGATACAAACATTATTGAGTTGGATTGTCTTCTTTTAGAGACTTTTTAGAGCTTTTCTTCTTTTGGCAGTTGTGACTTTTTTTAGGAGTTTTCTTCTTTTGGCAGTTGTTACTTATCAGCTTGATACTTTTCTTTTATTGATACTGGTATTGGTCCCAGGGGCACTTTATCATTGAGCTATATCTTCATTCCTTCATTCCTTCTTGTTTTTAAATTAAATTTAAAAAAAATTTTTAAGACTTAGTAAGTTGCTTGAGGCTAGCCTTGAACTTGTAATCCGTCTTCCTCCCAATCTGTTTAATCCTTTCTTAACCATTTTTTTCCCCTAAATGTATATTCTTAAAGCTAAAGTGACATTTACTCTAAGGCTAATTTTTCTACTAAGCCTTACCAGACTAGGGTCTGTAGTGAGTGCTTCAGTTTCTGTAAGTATTGGTTGGTTGGAACTTGAATGTCATCCAGTTAGTCCTGTGTGAAATTTTGGAGTTTTTCACTTTTCAGTTCCCTGGTCTTTTTTTGCCCAGTTTTGTGGAGTTATATCTCACTTGTGCTTATCTTGGTATTTGGCAAAAACTCAAGGGATTTCTATTAATTGATTGATTCATTGATGATTGTACTAGGGATTGTTTTTACTTTTATGGATATGATGTTATGCTAGTTCATTTAACAAATGAAGAAATTTATTTTAAATGTACTTGTTTTTCAGAGACCTTTTAATAAAAGTGAAATTTGGAGAAAGCATTGAGGACTTACAGACCTGCAGACTCTTAATTAAACACTATATCCCAACAGGACTTTTTGTGGATCCTTATGAGTTGGCTTCATTACGAGAGAGAAACATAACAGAGGTACAGCCATTAATAAATTTTTTTAGGGAATGATATAATTTGGATTAAGATAAAATAGTAGATAAGACAATTTTATAGTATTTTAAAATTGTTATTGAAGTGTATAAAGTGATATCTTCAGAGATGGGAGTATTCTTCAATAAGTAATATTTGTTAGGACTAAGCCACCTAAACTGAGCCAGTTAAATGCTTTTCAGCAGAATGATTCATAGTTTAGTGACTTAGGAAAATTATGTTCATGTGTATTCATACACACAAAACGTGTGTATATAAACATACATATATATATGTATATGTGTATGTGTGTGTGTGTGTGTGTGTGTATCTTGAAAAGAATGCTTAATAAATAGTGCTTCAATAGCCTATATGTTAAAGTAGATAGACATATGCCCTGCTATCTGTATAATTCGGAAAAGAAACTAATATTTAATATTTATTTAATTTTTGTATATTTGTTTCTAAAGGAAGCAAGGTAAAATTAATCTTTATAACATTCCTGAAGGTATTATCTCCGTTTTATAAATAAGAAAACTGAAGCACAAGGAGGCCAAGTAACTTATAAAAGATCATATAGATAAATGGTAGAGCCAAGAAATGAATCTAAGGTTGTCTGGTTGTAAAGTTGTTGCTCTTTCCTGACATGAATCTCACATAGTCAAGAGTTTACCCAACTTTGATAAGAACAAAAATAATGGGTACTTTTTATACAGATTATTGTGTTCCTGGGAAATCCCAATTTAGTATATCTAGCTTAGTTTCAAACACCTTTTTTAATAACCCAGGTGGTTCCTATTAAGAAATTTTGGGCCAGATAGTGGCACATGCCTGTAATGCCATCTACTTAGAAGGTTGAGGCAGGAGGATTGCAAGTTTGAGGCTAGCCTGGGCAATTTAGCAAGACTTTGTCTCAAAATTGGGGGTATAGGGGCTGGGGTTGTGGCTCAGTGGTAGAGTGCTCACCTAGCATGCACGAGACACTGGGTTCAATCTTCAGCACCACAAAAATGTAAGATAAAGATATTGTGTTCCCCTAAAACTTAAGAATAAATATTAAAAAAAAAATTGGGGGTGTAGCTTAGAGGAGAGTACCCTTGGGTTAAATTCCTAGTACCACCAAAGTGGGGAAAAACAAATTTTGGGAAATTGTCTTAGTTAATAATATTATTTTTTTGGTATCAGGGATTGAACTCAGGGCACTTAACCACTAAGCCACATCCCCAGCCTTTTTAAAATATTTTATTTAGAGACAGGGTCTCACTAAGTTGCCAAGTGCATCACTAAGTTGCTGAGGCTGTTTTTGACTCCCAGTCCTGCTTCAACCTCCCGAGCTGCTGGGATTACAGGCGTGTGCCACTGCACCTGGCTTCACATAAGAATTTTGTAGTCATTCACGATGGCAGTTTATTTCTAATTGTGGTTTTAAGACAATTTCTTCACCTTTTTCATTTATTTTAACTTTCTCTAACAGAGAAATATATTCTCATGGCTTAAAATTCAGGAGATAAAGAAAGGTCTGTAATGCTAAGTTTCTGACTCTGAATCCTCAGTTACCATATTTCTTCCTTTGTTCTAAGTTTTTTTTGTGTGTATGCATGTCAGTTTAGATACGTGTTCCTATATGGGAGGACCTCATTATTTTCTTTGCCAAGTTATGACTTTTAAGTGAAGCTTTTAGAATTTAAAATAATAGGTTTCAAATTTAAACATGGTTCTTGGCTTGTAATTATGTGAATTGGAATTTTATTTAAACATACTTAATAAAATCACTTATCATGTTCTAAGAAAATGAAAGTGTTTGGATAGGGTTATCTAAAAGGAAGTGAAAGCACCCACACTTTTGATTGGGATGAGATTTGGTTGATTAGTTTGAATGTTATAAGAAAAGGTGGAAGGGAAAGGATGCCCCTATACATTGATTGACAAGTTTCTCTTTAACTGATCTTCTAACCATCTTTCGAATCCCTAATTATAATGTTCTAAGTATATTTATTTAAAAAATTTCTACAAAAATAGATGCCAAATTTGTGATAGGTAATTAGAAGTTTATTTCTTGATGTATCACATGCTTTTCCTTTTCCTAGCTGAGAGACTGTGGCCTAATTCCTTATGCAGAGAGATTTTGTCATGAAAAGTGGTATTTTATGATGAGGATAAAGGGGAATTTATATAAAGGGATTAATTGATGCCTATATACCTAGACTGATTTTTTTTTTTTTTTTTTTTTTTTGGTCTAGGGGTTGAATTTGGGGTGCTTAACTGAGGGTGCTTAAGCCACATCCCAGTCCTTTTTGGTATTTTATTTAGAGACAAGATCTGAATGAGTTGCTTAGAGCATTACTAATTTGCTGAGTGTGGCTTTGAACTCACAGTCCTTCTGCCCTGGCCTCCCAAGCTGCTGGGATTACAGGCATGTGCCACTGCATCTGGCTACAGTGAGATTTTAAATTCTTTTCCTATAGATAAATAGAATTGGGCTCTCAAAGCACATGGGTGGTATGATAACAAAATGCTTTTTAAGTAGCTTGTGAGCAATTTGGAAATAATTGCAAGCCTTTAAATAGGTTCACTAAGGATAAGATACACACCTAATAAATACTCACCTCATTTTTAGGTAGGGCTATTAGACAGTGTGACTGGATCCAACTTAAGGCCTCATCCATGGTAGGCAGTACTCTACCATTGATCTATGTCCCTACTCCCTCTAGATATTTTTAATCAAATTTGTCATATATTTTAAGAACAGTATAATATTAAATTCCTATTTTATAGATCCAAGTGAAAATAGTGTTTTTGAAACCATATGTTTTGCCAAATCAAAATATGTGGCATTAATACTTATGCCTCTGGATAAGTTGGAGAACAAGGAACAGATTTAGTCTCCCACCTGAAATAACTAGAATACATGAAATAATGAAAAAAAAGTCACTGACTATCAGGCAATGATATCTGAGAAGGGAAATAATCAAGGTGAGCTCTATGGTTGTCCTGGCTTACTTCCTTGAGAGAGGTTTCTGGTTGTAGTGCAGGGAGGAGGAACTCAAACAGAGCCTGATGGACTTCTTGAGATAAAGTTAGGAATCTGGGGAAAGGAAGGTCATTAGAATTCACAGGACAGTATATTTGAGGAGAGAGAATTGCATAGAGGCAGAACTCCAGAGATCCGTACAAGGTTGCCCTCAAATATGTAGCTGAGTATTCATTAGTGCATGTATGTGAGGAAACCACCTGATGCCAGGGGGAGAACCATCTGACAAAATGAGAGGTAACAGTGCTTGGTCTCACACAGCACCAAGTGTATAGTGTCTCTTTCCACTGAGCAGCCTGAGAAAAGCTTCATAGTTTACTGGACAATGGATAGAGTAAACAGAACAGCTTTTATTCATTAGTGGGGAGCACTTAGCCTAAAACTGAGCATTGCCTCAGTCCTGCATAACAAATCTTAAAAGTAAGACCCTCAAAAAACCAAACTGTTTCCAGCCTGGCGTAGTGGCGCACGCCTGTAATCCCAGTGGCTGGGGAGGTTAAGGCAGGAGGATTGTGAGTTCAAAGCCAGCCTTGGCAAAAGTGAGGTGCTAAGCACCTCAGTGAGACCTTGTCTCTAAATAAAATACAAAATAGGGCTGGAGATGTGGCTCAGTGGTCAAGTGCCCCCGAGTTCACTCCCCGCCACCCCCCCCCCCCCCCCCAAAACAAAAACAAAAACAAAAAATCATTTCCAGATAACCTAATTGCATCTTTTTTTTTTTTTTTTTTTGTGGTACTGGGGATTGAACCCAGGACCTTCCACATACAAGACAAGAACTTTACCAACTGAGCTATATCCCTAGCCCTTAACCTAATTGCATCTTAAACGAAGCTCAAGAATATTATTTATAGGAAAGAATATATACAATCAAAAATGAGTAAATAAAGCATTTTGAATGAAAAAAAGAATATAGGAATACAGAAATACCTAGCATCAAATGAGATCAGGTTCACAATATTATGACTTCTTTGAAAAAAGTAGCAGAGACCTGAGGGGTTTGCATAGTGGTAGAGAACTTGCTGAGCATGGACGAATCCCTGGGTTCCATCCCTAGCACTACACAGACTCACACAAAATCTAGCAGTTATTTAAGTGTATATGAAAATAAAACCTATATTGAGGAGATTATTTAATTGATTGAAACCAATCCAGAACTGGCATAGATGTTAGCATTAGGAAGCAGGTCATTAAAACAGTTGCTGTAACTATATTCAGTATGTTCAGAAAGTTGAGACATGGAAGATACTGTAAAAAAACAGCACTGAACTAACATTTAAGATTACAGTGTGTGACCAATCCTCAGTTCCCAAGTATGATGATGGGGTGATCACAATGCTGGGTGAGATGTGTGTCCCTCTAAACCTTCTTATGATGTTTTGATCACATTACCCACCTGATGTGGAAAAAAGACTACAGTGTGTGAGACAAAAATAACTCTGGATGGGATAAATGGCAGATCAAATATTGCAGAAGAAAAAATTAATGAATTTGAAGGCATAGCAATAGAATCTACCAAAAATGTAAAAAGATAAAAGATCCAATTTAGAAGGTGACTGGAACATAAGAGAACTTGTGCGACAACTTCAAGTGACCTAGTATACAAGTAATTGGAATCTCCATTGAATAAAAAGAGGTGAAAATGGAAAAAGTTTTGAAAAATAATGACTGAGGACTATCTGAATTTGATGAAAGTTGTAAACTGACATATGGTTAAGATGCTTAAGTCCAAGAAGCATGAAGAAAACTACAAGTCACATGTCAACCAATTTTTTCTACAATGAGAAAAAAAACTCTTAAAAGCAGTGAGAGGGGGCTAGGATTGTGGCTCAGTGGTAGAGCACTTGCCTAGCATGTGTGAGGCACTGGGTTTGACCCCCTCAGTACCACATAAAAACTAAATAAATAAAATAAAGATATTGTGTCCATCTACAACTAAGAAAAAAAAAAAAACAGGAAAAAAAACCTTGCATATACAGAGAAACAAAAACAACAATGACAGCAGATTTGTCAGAAATAATGTAAACAAGACTGTGATAACATCTATAAAACATTGAAAGAAAAACCTGTGAAATTCGAATTCTGTACTTATTGAAAATGTCTCAAAGTGAAGGGGAAATGAAGGCTTTCAGATATACGAAGCTGAAAGAACTCATCATCAGACCTCCACTACAAGAAATGTTAAAGCAAGTCCTTTAGGCGGGAGGAAAATGATACCAAGTAAAATCTAGATTTATACAAGGGAAAGAGAATGCTTAAAAGGGTAACTTTTTTCTCTTATAATTTAACTCTGTATGAGACTTACTGACAAAAACATCAGTGTAGTGTAGTATTAGTACTATATATAAAAGTAAAATGTGTGACAAATATTACAGAGGTTGAATGGGGAAAATTAGAGGTATAATTTTATAAAGTTGTGAAATGAAACATGAAGTCATTTAATGTCACTTGAAGGTAGACTGTAATTTGTTAAACATGTAAATCCTGAAGCTATCACGAAAACAAAGGTCGTAGCTAATTTGTGACAAAGCAGATGTAATGGAATTATAAAAAATATTCAGGTAGCTGGGTTTGGTGGATTACACATATAATCCCAGTGGCTCTGGAAGCTGAGGATCTCAAGTTCAAAGCCAGCCTTAGTAACTGAGGCCCTAAGCAATTTTGTGAAACCCTGTTTCAAAGTAAAATATACAAACTTCTGGTGGCTCAGTGATTAAGCACCCCTGGGTTCAATCTCTGGTACCAAAAGAAAAAAAAAATTCAGTTAATCCGAACAAAGACCATGTTATAAGTAGAGAGCAAGTAACAAGATGATGTACTTAAACTTAACCATATTAATAGCTATATTAAGGGTAAATTTCTAAATATCCCTATTAAAAGATAAAGATCTTCAGATAAGAAAGCAATACTCCTCAACTGTATGTTGTTTATATGAAATGTATTTTAAATTTAAAGACAAGCTAAAAGTAAAATCAAAAGAAAGTTGTCAATATTAAAATTAGGAAATAGATTTTGGAGCAAGCAAAGACTATCACCAGGTCCTTTGGTTAATGAGTTCAGTGCATGAGAAAGAAGTAACAATCCTAAATATTTATGCACCTAATAAAAGAGCTTCAAAATGCATGAAGCAAACCATGCAAAGTGACACTCTTGTAATTTCAGCTAATTGGGAGGCTGAAGCAGGAGGATTACAAGTTTGAGGTCAGCTTGGGCAATATAGCAATACCCTATTTCAGAGGAATGAATGAATGAATAAAATATTTACAGGGCCTGGGACTTAGCAATAGAGGGCTTACCTAACATGTGAGATTCCATCTCCAGCACTGTACACACACAATCATTTGCCATTTTTTCCATTAACCTTTTATACACATTGTAGAAAGAGTTGCTGACCTTTGCCTGACAACATTGTACTATCTTACTACCACTCTAGTTACTTCACTAAAGAACAGAAGATTACCAGAATGATATTAATAATTTATAGCCTAATATAGGTTTAATAGATTTTGTCATAGTAGCTTTTATACTTATTAAATAATGCTGTTTTTATTCACACAGTCTCTTCTTGGTACCTGTTTTGTCACCTAAACAGAGGTTAATAAGGAAATTTCACAGAAATAATTTTTTATGGGTAAATTTGGCATCCCAGAGTATAATTTCCCCAGTTTACTTTTATTATACACAGATCACATCCTGTGTTTTCTACTTAAACTTGAGGATGGAAGGGAAATGAAAAAGGTTGATAATGGGGGTAAATTTGACACTTCTGTATATTTGCACTGCAGTCTTCTGGTTTTACTTGTGTCTTTATTTTTCTTCATCCATTTCTTCTTCTTCTTTTTCTTTTTTTTAAAAATATTTTTAGCTGTGGATGGATACAATATTTAATTAATTAATTTATTTTTATGTGGTGCTGAGAATTGAGCCCAGTGCCTTGCACATGCCAGGCAAGTGCTCTACCACTGAGCCCACAACTCCAGCCCCTTTTCTTTTTCTTGATTAATGTCTGTTTTCTCTTCAACAGGCAGTGATGATTTCAGAAAACTTTAATATAGAAGCCCCAAACTATTTGTCCAAGGAATCTGAAATTCTCATTTACGCCAGACAAGATGCACAGTGCATTGATTGTTTCCAAGCCTTTTTGCCTGTGCACTATCGTTATCACCGGCCACATAGTAAAGATGAAGAAACATTTGTTATAGTCAACAACCCAGATTTATTGATGTATTGTGACCAAGGTGCGTATTTCAAGTCTTTTCTGAGGGTTGAAAATAAGAATTGAGGGTATGATTCCAAGTCTTCAGTCAAGGACAGGGATGGCAAAAGCATGTTTCCTTTTTCTTTTAAACTTTTTTGATTGTAAAATGAAGCCAGGTATAGAAAA